TCATAGGGTACAGTAACATCTGCATTTCTGGTCAGTGAAAATTCAGCCCACCTCTGGAAGCACAGTAATCAACCTTCAGGTCGACGCTATCTCTTCCCTGTGGGTGAGTCAGGGTCCTCTGTCAGAGCTGCTCCTTGGGAGACTGGTTGGCATGGTAACGTTGTGGGCTTCCCTCAACGTCTTTGTCCCTAGTTGGCCGTCAGCCTCACAAGGACCTAGCCTGGTCCCTGACTCGCTGCAGGAGCAGGTCAGTTCTCAGACTCATCTGAGTTTTCAGAAGGCACCCGGCAGAAGGTTCTTACCTTGCTATGAGGGGAAAGGTTTCATCTGGCAAAAGGTTTCAAACCTCTGAGACCTATAGCCAGGGGCCCAGGCTTCAATCCAAGAGAAGGAAATAGGATCAAAGAGAAAATCCCCCGCCTCCGACCCTCCCACTCCCAAACATTTTAATTTAACTTTGCAAATAGCACTCACATGGGCTGGACTCTTAAAGGTATCCTGGATCTCATGAAGTGCAAAGGGCACTGGACACATCAAGAATCCTGCCCCCCTGACGGTCTCTGCTTATAATGAAACAAAAGAGTGATTTGCAGAGAATGTAAATCCAGGGCTGCAGACTGTTTGCCAACAGTCCTTCTCTGTAAAATAGGGAAATAATGGTGGCCACCTGAAATGGGGGAAGATGACAGAATGCAGGGAGAGGGCTCCGCCCAGTGCCTGGCTGAAGCTGCAGCACCAGTGGTCATGTGCTAGCCACAGGAGGAACCCCAGCTGCTGTTTCAATTTTTAAGACCTGGCTCTTCTAACCTGCCATACAATGAATCAGCCGCTCTGTTTTCCTGTACCTGTTTCCCTCCTTAGTTGCATCAGGGGGCAGTGTGGACAGTGTGCCCTCCTGAGATAGGTACCCCGGGAAAACAAGGCAAGGCTATGGCCATATGTCGCCGTATTTAAGCATTAGACTACTACGAAGGCTGGGCAGATTTCAGAAGATCTGGTCAGTCCTTGGCGTTAGCTCTCCTGACTCATTTCTGTCAATGCAGAGTCGCTAGAGGGTCCCTTTGAATTGGGTGAGGAAGAGGCAGAGGAAGTGAGGAAGGAAAGCATCCGGAAAGCAGGGCACCCATTGACTAGGGCGCAGTGGGACCCGCTGGTTAAGAAGGGTCTTGGGTCCCCTCAGTCTTCCTGCTCAGGGCCCCCTGCCTCTTGCCTCCTCTCTGAAGCTCCAGAAAGTGACCCTGTTTCTTTCTGCTTGCCTCTTTCTTTCTATAACATCCTGCTCTAAGGGAACCACTTTGTAAATTTGTTTATATTAACATGTAAATGACTGTTGGGGCTTTATGCTAGCTCATTTTCATAAAGGGAGAAGCTTTCAGTCAAAGGAACAAATACCTGTAAGTGAGGGAGGCAGAAGGCCCTCCCAGTGATTAAGAAACCACACGGCCCACTCCATCCAGAAAACCAGCGGGTGTTCTGTAGACTGGCCGTGGCAGGAGGCCCTGGCCACTTGAGTTTAGCTGAACTGAGCAACGTTTGAACCCTCCATCCTCCGCCTGGAAGTAGGAAAGCGGACAGGGACGTGGTGCGGGAAGGGAGGCCAGGGAAGCTACATGGAGCAGAGGTACACAAAGTAGGGATTACTCCCCCCAAGTGCACTCCTCAGGGAAAGCGGGGCTGCGGAGAGCAGGCCAGAGCTCTGTGTCTTCAAAGCATGACTTTCGACGTAATGCAAAGCAAGGGGCTCTGGCCTTCTAGCTCTTTAGGGTACCCTCAGCCCCACCTCTGCCAGGCTCTCCTGCCCCGTGAGACATCCCAGGTCATGGCTGGTATGTTTGAGAGGAGCTCATCTCATGGACAGATGCAGCCAATTTCGATACTGTCTGGGACTCCCCCTCTGCCTCGAGGCTAGGACCAAACTAGGCCTGGATCACATTATGCTACCCGAGTGTTGGGGGTTAGAGGGTGGATTCAGGTTACCAGAGCAGGTCGGAAAAAAGGACTGGCAGGAAGTGCCACCTGCCCTCCCCCCAGGGCAGCCCCACCCAGCAGCCCTCTTGGTTCAGGAAGGTCCTGGCCCAGCAGCCCCTGGAAAAGGGGCTACAAAACAGAAGAAACAGGCCGGGCATGGTAGCTCACACCTGTAATCCCAGTGCTCTGGAAGGCCAAGGCAGGAGGATTTGCTTGAGGCCAAGAGTTCAAGACCAGCCTGGGCAATAGTGAGACCCCATCTCTACAAAAAATAGAAAAATTAGCCAGGTGTGGTGACGTGTGCCTATAGTCCCAGCTACTCGGGAGGCTGAGGCAGGAGGATCGCTTGAGCCCAGGAGGCTGAGGTTGCTGTGAGCTAGGCCGACGCCATGGCACTCGCCTGCACAACAGAGACCTGTCTCAAAGAAAGAAGGCACACAAAATAGAAGAAACAGAGCCAGTCCTGGGACACAAACACCAGTATATTTTTATGTGCACGAATGTGAGAAGGAAGAGACAGAGACCAACGAAGACACAGAGCAGGCAATGGGCGCACAAACTGATCATGTGTCCTTCTCAGGAGCTGCCCAGTTGGGAGACAGTCCCACCTCTACTTCAAAGGCCCTTTTGCAGAGCCAGGGCCTGCAGCTCCTCCAGATCTGGGGTGGCCTCAGGGTAGAAGGCACTCTCGCTGCCATAGCTTGTCTAGGGCTGGGCCTCTCACCTGTCTTCATCGCCCAGTGATGATGTCTGCACAGCCCAGAGCTTCATAAATGTAGGTTCTCATGAACTGACCCACTCAGCAGCTGCCCCCCTCCCCAGGAGACCCATTCAGAGTGAGGGACCAGGACTAAAGGGCTTCATGGGCACACCCTAGGTATTATTGCTGTGAATAAGCATAGGCCATTGTGACTCACTGGCATCAAAAAGGGGACAGGGTACAGGGGACAGATGCCTAGCAGACATTGGAAGCGGTTCAACCATGCAGGGCAGCACTTTGCAACCTGTAACTCGAAGATGCTGCCACGTCCAGCAGAGAGAGGCCCAGGACACCAGGTTCATGGACAGACAGCAGACCCTCCCCACCAGCACCCCTATTGCTTAGAAGGGCTGGGATTACTCCAAACTTTGAGTCGCTGGGCACTAAGGGATTGGGCCCCTGAAGATACCCAAAAAAGCGAAAGCTGAAGTCTGAGATACCCCTGATGAGATCTGAACCTGCAGATCCTGTGGTCAGGCCACAGGTTGTTGCCACCTGTTGTTGGGGGCTCAGTGCCCTGTGAGGGGCAATAGGAGCAATGGGGCACTAGATGTAGCAGAAACGATGCTGCATGTTGCCAGGCACACAGGCTCACCCCAGGACCTACTGCACTTGGGAGCTTACAGGGCCCAGAGAGAAAATGATACCAGGGAATGCCCACAAGGCAACGTCTGGAGCGGCAAAATCCGGTGGGCCACCCAAAGGGGGCTTGCTGTGGCTGAGAATTATGGAGACCTTATGCTGGGAGACATCAACAAGCTGGCCACTGGATTCAGTCGTGGAAGGGGATTGTGAAGGTGGACAATGTGGCCTTGGGGTCCAGAACGCCTAGACAATATGAAATTGGGGGAGGGGACCAAGGAAACGATGGCCCAGAGGGAACAGGGAAGCCAGACAATATTCCCCCTCTGGAATCCTCTCCATCCATAGATGGGGAGCAAACCACCCCCACCGGAAGCCTGATTCCCTGTAGCCCCCAATGCCCAGAAACTGGGGCCATAACGAGACCAAAGGCAGGGCTGGTCCCTGCAGAATGCAGGTCACTCCTGGATTTAAGGGACCTGCCTCGGGGAAAAGGGGGGAAATGCCCTCCATTCTGCCCTGGACAGGGCCAACTGCAGAAAAATCCTGCCAAAGGCAGAGTCTCCAAGCCTTTCTCGTCAGCTAGGACACCACTGCCACCCACCCCACCCCAGCCTGTGCCCTGGGTGGTGGTGTTTGCACAGCCTTGGTGGAATTGCCAGCAAGGACAAGATTCTCTCACAGGTGGTATTGTCACTTTTTAATGACCTATAAAAAGGGAAAAGCTAATTTCTATCTAAGAATCCCAGTGTGGTCAAGAGATCATGTACCATGGGATGGGCCACTTTCCAATGGATGCCTCCCCTCACAGAGTTGGGAGCAGAGCCAGAAGTGGGCTGGAGTGAGGAGTCACCTGTCCACTGCCAGCAATGGACCTGTCATGGGGGCAACAGGGGCAACCAAGATGACAAGGCCCAGGAGTGTGGCAGGGTTAATACTGCTTACGGAGCAAGCTCAAAGGGCCACCCTTGCTGGGAGGAGTTGGGGAGAGGGCAGCCCTGAGAAGGTTCTGCTACAGGGCTGGGGCTACGGCAGAACCAGAACTGACCTGTTCCCACAAAGGATCCTCCAAGAGCCTTCCAAGGCTGAAGGGGTCCTCTTTCTTCCTCACTTGCTCTCCATGGGTCTCAACACCATGTACTGGCTCCTCCATCCCCTAGAAACTAGACTGCTCAATTGGCTTGAAAATAAACCAGTCAGGGTGTAGAACTCTGCCCTTCTCCACTTAGCTGACTTGCCTCTAGGCCCCCACTGTGGATCCACAGGACCCCTCTCAGCATGACCGGAGGGTGTCATACGTTTTCAGCAGGGCCACTGTGGGGAAGGGGCACTGCCACAGCCCACCAGACCGGAGTGGGTGGGGAGGCATACCGCAGGAAATCCCCTGGCATCAGGCCAGCAGGAGCGGTGGAGGAAAGGCTGCGGGACAGGTGGGGCCTGCCTGGCAGCTGTGGTGTCAGCCAGGGACTCAGGGATGGGGTGGGTGTGGTGGCCACCATGGACAAAGGGCCGCTAGTGGTAAAGGCCTTAAAAACAAGAGAAAAGGGGAAACGCCACCGAACGCACGGGGATTGAAACCTCCAAAAGCCCAAGGTTGGTGGGAATCCAGCACCACGGGGGCCCCCAGAAGGCCAAGGGAGCAGCGTGGGGAGGAGCCACGGGAAGGTCTCCCAGCCCTTTCAGACCAGCCCTGCTGCCAAGCAGCCTCCCTGCTGCCCAGTCTCGCTCAGGCTGCAGCTCAGCAGGCCCCGGGGAGGTATTGGTTGCAAGCAAGCACCTGAATATTGCCTAATGGAACCAGCCAAAGCCCAACTAAATCCCAGTGAGAGGGAGGAAGGTCAGGCCTGGTGTCCCACCTGTGGCCCCATTCTCAACATCCCTTAGCCAGGACAGGGCCTGCTGCTTCCGGTCAACCACGTAGTCCAGTCAGCCACAGGCCTCCTGCCGCCAGCCTCCGAGCTTGGCCGAGATCCGTGGACCCTTCCCAATGTCCTTCTGCTGCCTTGACACCCCACCCCTCAACACCTGGCCACAACCCCCAACACCTGCTCCACCCTGTGGGGCTGTGGGTGCCCCACGGGGCTGAGGCAGGCCCAGGGCCGGGCTTGTGCCGCACAGGAGGGGCAACCCCACCACCAGCTTGGTCTCTTTGTCCATGGATTCCATGAGAGACCCTCAGGCCCCCCACCAGCCTCCCTACTCAGTCAGTCTTGACATGGCCGTTGGCCAGGGCCAGGGGGCCGCTGGGCTCCCCGGGCTCTGCATCCTTGTCGAAACGGAGGCGGAGGGTGTTGCGGATGACGAACTTCTCCACGATGAGGGCCCCGCAGAACCAGGGCACGGCGTACTCCAGGGTGATGAGGCCCATGAAGTCAAAGTCGAACTGGGAGTAGTCCCAGGGGCAGGCGTTGAACTGGCGCAGGATGAAGCCGGTGGTGAACTCCCACAGGTAGGTCCAGAGCGTGTAGATGAGGCAGCGCAGCAGCAGCGGGCAGCGGCCCCGCAGGCGCAGGTACATGCGCTCCACGATGAGGATGGAGGTGCCGTAGATGAAGAGGGCCCACACGCTCGTGACCCCTGGGAACTTCCAGTTCAAGTTCACCACGAACTCCCAGGCTGCCGTGAACATCACCTCGCAGAAGTAGCCATGGATGGCGTACAGGTACCAGCGGGACAGCGCCGTCAGGGGCTCGGCAGAAGCCATGGTGCAGACTGGGGCTGGCTGCCGGGGACACAGAGAGACAGGTGAGGGGAGAGCCCCCACTGCTGCCCACACCGCACAGCCCAAGCCTCTGGTGCGACCAGGCTGGAGGGGATCTCAAACCTGCCTCTACTTTCTCTGTCCCCTACGGAGGTGTCTATTACACTCTGTATAACTTCTTCGGATTATCTGTGGTAACTGCAGCGATGGCTGTCTTGAGCCACCAGTCACCCCCATGTCTAGGCTGCCAGCAGATTTCTCACGAGGCCCAACCACTGGGGACTCCATCTCTTCCCTCATTTCCCCTCAAACAGTTCCATGTCACTCACATTTCTGAGATCTTTCTATATAACCTATCACATTTGTATTCGTGTGTGCATGCATTTTAATCATTTTAAGTGTACCAATCCAGTCGTATTAAGTATAGTCACAATTTTGTGCAACCATCACCACCATCCATTTCTAGAACTTTATCATCATCCCGAACTAAAACTCTATACCCATTAAACACCAACTCCCCATTCCCCCTCCCCTCAGCCCCTGGCAACCACCATTCCACTTTCTGTGTCTAAGAATTTCACTACTCTAGCTGCCTCACACAAGTGGAATCATACAAATACTGTCCTTTTGTGACTGGCTTACTTCACTTAGCATAACGCCTTTAAGGTGCATCCGTGTTGTAGCATGTCAGAATTTCCTTCCTTTTTAAGGCCGAATCATATTCTGTGTATAGATCACATTTGTTTATCCTTTCATCTGCTGCTGGACACCTGGGCTGCTTCCACCTTTTGGCTACTGTGAACACAGGTATACAAATGCTTTCACTTCTTTTGGGTACAAACCCAGAAATGGATTTTCTGGATCATACGGTAATTCCATGGTTAACTTTTTGAGGAGCCACCATGCTGTTTTCCACGGCGGCAGCACCATTTTACATTCCCATCAGCAATGCACAAAGGGTTCCAATTTCCCCACAGCCTTGCCAACACTTGTGATTTTCTGTTTGTTTGTTTTATAATAGCCACCCTAATGGGTATGAAGTGGTATCTCATTGTGGTCACATTTGTCTTTGTCACATTAAATGGGGTTTTGGTGTTTAATTTCAGTGTTGAGGCAAAACCAATGAATTGGCAGAAGAAAGAGTCCTCCCCTCTCTTTATGTCCTGCCCACCCCCACACCCCGCCAGTCTTCACGGCCTGGCTCCCATCCTGCTTCCCCGAAGACTGGCCTGGCCCACAGGCCTCTCTACATCCTCCTCGCCCTCCACCAGCGACTGTATGGACCACTCGTTTGGCCCATTATCAAATGGCACCCTATTAACTTTTTGAGGTACATACCCTCGTGATCCAACTAGCCCGTGAACTCCTGAGGGCAGTGACTGTTGCGCAGTCCTGTGTTTTGCAACTTTGGCACGGGCCTCTCCCGAGCAGCCCCTCTCTAAATGACACATCCTATTTATGTGCAAAGTGGCGTGGGACCGTTCAGGGCCGTGTCAAGAATGGGAAGGCAGGGCTTGAGAACATGAATCCCAGCTCTGCCAGCTGCCAGCGGACACCCAGCTTGACATCTCTGCCAAGGCCCTCTTCAAGGTGGGAGAAGAGACAGAGGTTAAGGAGACAACATCTGCAGGATGCCTGCATGCCTGGGAACCCAGCCTCATCCTTCAGCTAAAGCAGGCCTGGTTACTGTGCCTACCCACCACTATGTATTGCCGGGTGTCTTCCAAGCACTTCCATTCACATTTTATCATTGGTTCTTATATAATTACAATTCATATGCAGGTCAGATAGTTTTACTCCCATTTTTTTTTAGATGAGACAATTGGGGCTCAGAGAGGAGACATCATTTGCCCCATATTCCAGGGCCAGTAAATGGAAGAGCTGAGACTAGGACCAGTATCTCTTATTTTCTACTTCAAAACGCATCCCACTGCATACTGCTGCCCATCTCCTGGACATGTGTGCCTAATGTCGCTTCCCTGCTCAAAAACATCCACCAGCTAGCTCCCCATTTCCTAAGAAAACACTACAGCATCCTTGGCCTGGCATTCAAGGCTCTTCATGACCTTGCCCCAATCTACTTTTCCAGCCTTATTCTCTCTCACAATCCTGCTCTCCCTGTCTTACCCGCAGGCCTTTGCAGACCCATTCATTTTGTTTGGTGCACCTTTGTCCTCTCATTTCCACAGGAACAAACCCAGCCTACAGGTTACCTTCAGAACAAAATCTCTTTCATGCCCCCAGCCACAAGTCCTCTCTTCCTCCTCTGAATTTTCATAGCACTTACTCTGCCTCTTCCTCTTCCGTACAGATTTTCTGTTGAGTTGCGTAGAGAACTTTCAATCCCTAGCCAAACCTCTTTCCTGTGTTCTGCACCTATATATTAAATATCTTGTTCCTTCCTAGACACCTCCACCTAAATGTTCCACAGGCACCCCAAACTCCCTAAATCAAACTCATTATCTTTTCCCCAAAACCTATTTCCCTCCTAAGACCCCATCCTGATTAATGGCACTGCCATACACCCAGTGAGAAGCCAGAGATAGGCTGGACACGGTGGCATACGCCTGTAGTCCTAGCTATTCGGGAGGCCAAGGTGGGAGGAAAGCTTGAGCCCAGGAGTTGGAGGCTGCAGTGAGCTATGAACACACCGTAGCACTCCAAGATGTGCAACAGATCAAGAGTCTGTGTCTATAAAACTCAAAAAAAAAAAAAAAAAAAGCAGCAGCAGCCAGAGGCTCTGGAGTCACTTAGCTCCCTCTGCCACATCCCCACTCTGAAGTGAGTTCCTGAGAGTAAGGGCCTTGTCTGTCTGGTCCAGCACTGTATCCCCAATGCCAGGCATAGTAAGCCTTCCACACACATAGTAAGCAGTCCGTACAAGAATGAAGACGTTTCTTAGGCAGTTAGCAATTGCCACATAACAAATCATCCCCAAACCCTGTGGCCTAAATCACCTGTCATGTACTATTATTACAGTTCACGTGTCTATGGGTTGGTACATCTTGGCCGGCCTTGACCATGAGACTGTGAGTCATCTGGGGCTCCCGGCTAGGGCAGTGCAGCTGTGGTGGCTCAGCTTGCTTGTCTCCCGTCCTCCTCCTGGGCTCAGTAGACTTGCCAGGCATTTTCTTGTCATGGCCAGGGCAGAGGCAGAGATGAGCCTGCCTGGCTGCACAAGCACGGCTCAGGGCTCTGGTTAAGGCATGCCACAAACGTCCCATATGCCAAGGCAAGTCACTTGGGAAAGCCACCAAGTCGGCCGCTAAGTCCTGCCCTTTCTACCTCTTAAATTATCTCTGGAATCCATCTCCTCCTCTCCATTCCCCTCTTCTCATTGCTGCTGCTCTGGGTCAAGCCCTCATGTCTCACCTGGACGACTTCTCAACAGCAGTCTCCGGGCTTTGCCTTGTTCCTTCCCAATTCGCTGATATAAAAGAGTCTATATGGAAAGAGCAATCTTTCTAAAACGCAAATGTGATGTTTCTCTCCACTTACAGCCCATTAGTAGATCTTCAGCAACTACAGAGTAAAGCTCAAACCCCTAGGGAGGGCTGGCAAAGCCCTTCACAAGCCCTCTCTGCCTCAGATCCTGTCCTCCAGATTTCCACCTTGCAGTTTGTGCTACCTGGGACACCCTTCCCACCTGTGACCTTTGTTCCCTCCCAGGCCTGTGAGTCAATACTAATCTCTCAAGACCCAGCTCCTCCTCCATGAGGACATTCCTAAACACCGCACCCTCCAGAGCTGTCTACTACCTTGTCTGTCCACCTCCGTGCTCTCGCTTCTCTGTGGTCCCAGTCAGCACTCTGCTCTAACGATTCGTCTAAAGGCCAGCACCAGTTGCCAACGAGTAGGAATGTTTGCTTAATACAATATTGACAAAAAGGAGTCAAAACTGAATATTTAACATGACTTTGATTTTGCAAAGACATACATACATATAAATATACAAAAAATTTAGCAACAATCATCTCTGGATGGTGATATCATGTGATTTTTTTCCTATATACTCTAAAATTTTTTCCTAACAAGCATGTAAAACTTTTACAAAAATAAAATTTTATCTTAAAAATGCTTGTTGACCCCAGGACTTGGAAGTTACAGTGAGCTACGGTTGTGCCACTGCACTCCAGCCTGGGTGATAGTGTAAGACCCTGTCACTATTTAAAAAAAAAAAAAAAAAAGTCCTTGTATCTGTGTAACTGAAAAAAAAATGCTTGTTGAGCGAATAGGTATTAATCCTCTTGGTACCTTGTATATAGATATTCGGTAAATTTGCCAAACCAATGAACCTAAGGAAACCTGAAGTCACGTAGAGTTAATGCAGGTTCTTCCCTCCTGAGCCATCCCCAACAATAAACCATGACTCACAGTTTAAACATGTTCAGTTGGTTGAGCTCAGGGGCTCCAGATCCTGACTGCCTGGGTTGCATTCCTGGCTGATGCTCCCCACCTGCGGGATCTAAGGCTTGTTACCTGACTGCTCTGTGCCTCTCTCTCCTTATAGGTAAAGTCAGGATAATAAAAGTAACTACCACAGAAGGTTACTGTGAGGATGAATGAGCTAATTGAGCTAATATACATACACACTGCTTAGAATACACCAAATGTTCCAGAAAGGGTAACTGTCATTTCTGGCACAGAGCCAGGCTTCTGGACCATTCGTCCTGCTTTGAGCACACCTCCTACCTGAGGAAGGATCACTCTGCCCCATCCCTCGCCAGCCTCCAGGCAGCCTTGCCTGTCTGGCGGGTTAGGTCTTCACCTCTACCCTGAGCACCAAGCTAGGGACCCAAGATGGCCTATGAGGACAATAATCCCACGTATAGCCCCCAAGAGAAAAAACTCCCACAAACAGCCTAGGGGAGTAACCGTGAGCTTCCAGCTTCCCTGTGGCTACACAGGGATTAATTAAAGGAAAAGGAACTCAGAACCAGCACTGAGGATCAGGCTTGAAAAGAGGGTGAGAGAAGGCTGGGTGAGGTGGGCCTGTAATCCTAGCACTCTGTAAGGCCAAA